TTTGTCAGGGAAAGTCTTTCCCTTTCCTTTATTTTTGTAGGACAGCTTTTCTGTTTCAACTATTCTTGGTTGGTATTTTTTTTTTTTTTTCTCAAGCACTTTGAAAATCTCTTCTGGCCTGCAGAGATCCTGCTTAGAAGACTGATAGTCACATGAGGATTCTCTTCTGTGTGAGGTATCTCTTTCTCTCTTTGCTTTCAGGAATGTCTCTTTGTTTTTTGATTTTTGAATTTGATTATAATATGTTATATGATATGGGAAGTATTCTTTGTGCTGAATATGATTGTAGACCTTTTAGCTTCCTGTTCCTGAATGTGTCTTTTTGGTAGAGTGATTTGTGTTCCTCTGGGTATATTCCCAAGATAGAGATTGCTGGATCATATGGGAGATCAATTCTTAGTTCTTTTAGTAATCACCACACTGCTTTCCTTAGAGTTTGAACTAGCTTACATTACCACCAACAATGTGGAAGCATTCCCTATTCTCTGCAGCTGCACCAGCACTTGTTGTTTTTTGACTTATTAATTATAGTCATTCTTACCAGAATTAGGTGGTATTTCATTGTAGTATTGATTTACATTTCTCTGATGGTTAGTGAGGCTGTGCATTTTTTCATGTGTCTGTTAGCTGCTTGTACGTCATCTTTAGAGAAGTGTCTGTTCATGTCCTTTGCCCACTTTTTAATGGGTTTGTTAGTTTTTTTCCTTTAACTTTATTTGAGTTCCTTGTAGATCCTGGATGTAAGACCAGATGAATAATTTGCAAATATTTTTTTTCCTGTTCTGTGGGCTGTTTTTTTACTCTCTTGATGGTTTCTTTTGCTGTGAAAAGCTTTTTTAGCTTGATGAGGTCCCACTTGTCTGTCTTAGCTTTTGTAGCATTTGCTTTTGTGGACTTGGTCATGAATTCATTTCCTACTTTGATGTCTAGAAGGGTTTTTCCTGTATTTTCTTCCAGGATTCTTATAGTTTGTGGTTTAATGTTTAGGCCTTTGATCCATTTTGAGTTGATTTTTGTATATGGTATAGGTAGGGATCCAGTTTCATTATTTTGCATGAGGTTAGCCAGTTTTCCCAGTACCATTTGCTAAATATGGTCTCCTTTCCCCAATGATTGTTATTGATGACTTTGTTGAAGATGAGTTGTTTAGAGACTGTGTATTTTACTTCTGAAATCTCTGTCCTGTTCCATTGGTCTATGTGCCTATTTCTGTATCAATACTATGCTGTCTTGGTTACAGTAGCTTTGTAATAAAGTCTAACAGTGTGGTACTTTCTGCTTTGTTCCATTTGCTGAGGATTGTTTTGTCTATTTGTGCTCTATTTTGTTTTCATATGAATTTCTGTTTTGTTGTTTCCAGGTCTGTGATAAAAGATGCTGGTAATTTGATGGGTTTTGCATTGAATCTGTAGATTGCCTTGGATATGATGGATATCTTGATGATATTGATTCTTCCAATCCATAAGCATGGGATGTTTTTCCATTTGTTTGTGCCATCCTTGATTTCTTTGAGCCACATTTTGTAGTTATTGTTGTAAAATGTCTTTTACTTCTCTAGTTAGGTGGATGACAAAGTATGTCATTTTTTGGTGACTGTTGCAAATGGGATTTTGTTTTTTATTTGGTTCTCTAACTGCTTATTGTTAGTATATAGAAATGCAGCTGTCTTTTGCATGTTGATTTTGTAACCCTAGACTTTACCAAAGTCGTTTATCAGTTTAAGGAGGCTTTTGACAGACTCCCTAGGGTTTTCAAGGTATAGAATCATGTCATCTGCAAAGAGGGATAGCTTAATTTCCTCTTTTCCCATTTGGATACCTCTAATTTCCTTCTCTTTTCTTATTGCTCTGGCTAGGACATCTGGCACTATGTTGAATAGGAGGGATGAGAATGGGCATCTTTGTCTTGTTCCAGTTCTTAGGGGGAATGCTTCCAGTTTCTGCCCATTGAGCAAAATGTTGGCTGCAGGTTTATCATAGATGGCTCTTATTGTTTTGAGGAATGTTCTTTCTATGCCTAGGTGTTCAAGGGTTTCTATCAAGTTGGGATGCTGGATTTTGACAAATGCTTTATCTGAGTCTAATGATATAATGATATGGTTTTTGGTTTTATATCTGTTAATGTGTTAATTATGTTTATGGTCTTATGAATGTTGAACCAACTTTGCATCCCAGGAAGGAAGCCCACCTGTTCATGGTGGATGATCCTTGAAATGTGTTGTTGGATCCTGTTTGGTAGAATCTTGTTGAGAATTATTGCATCTATGTTCACAAGGAGATTGACCTGTAATTCTCTTTCCAGAATGGTCTTTGCCAGATTTGGGTATGAGTATGATGCTAGCTTCATAAAATGAGTTGGGAAGAATTCCATTTTTCTCATTTGTCTGGAATACTTTCAGTAAGATTGGTATCAGCTCCTCCTGGTATATCTTGTAAAAATCAGCTGGGAAGCCATCTGGTCCAGGGCTTTTTTTGGCAGGGAGGTGTTTTTTATGACTGAGTCAAATTCTTGGCTTTTTATTGGTCTATTTAGAGTTTCAGTTTCTTCTTGTTTCAACCTTGGGATGTTGTGTGATGCCAGAAAATCCTTCATTTCCTATAGACTTTCTAGTTTACTTATAAAAATTATGTGATACATTTGTATAATTATTTTTCTTTGTATAAATTTTTATTGATAAACAAGTTCATAAGTATATATGTCAAACTAATGCAGCAATTGAGGAGGTATAAGAAATTGATAGGATAGAGGCAGTAGGATTGGAAGTGGAGAGGAGCTTTTACTGTATATTTCTGTCTGTTGAAAGATTATAGGCTGGGTGTGGTGACTCAGACCTGTAATCCCATCATCTTGGAAAGCTGAGATGAGAGAATAGGTGAGCCCAGGAGTTCCAGTCCAGCCTGGGCAATATAGCGAGACCTTGTCTCTACAAAAAATAAAAAAATTAGGTGGGTGTAGTGGCTCATGCCTGTAGTTTTAGCTACCTGGGAAGCTGAGGCAGAAGAATTTATATGAACCCAAGAAGCTCATTGAGGCTGCAGTCAGCTGTGATCATGATTACATATTATTTTTGTATCTTTTAAAATATACATTTATATATAAATCTTTAAAAATATTTTTCCAGTGAAATTTTCTCATTATTGTAAAAGTATATTGTCTGTAAACATCTTACATATTCCTGTAAATCTATGAGACCTGTCAAGCAAGGACAGGGAGTTCTGTTCTTTATGCAAAGACATGTAAACTAGATATATTTTTGCAGGCAACTTTGAATATGCTTCTTATGTTAGGGCAAAGTTGGGATATAGGTTGTTCAAAAGTGTTTTTTATGAGCTTGGCAGACTTATTGACAGTAAGCCATGGGGTTTCCTGATCTCTCTTCTTTAGTTTTAAAATTATTCATAATTAAAATTTGCAGAACAATAATAGGATGATTTCCCAAGCTGTTGTACCTGGTAACTAAAGTGTAATGTACCCATGTCTACATTCAATGATTCTGAGTTGGAATTCATAAATGAGTGAAGCCTTAATAATGGCCTTTTCTTCTTTCTGGGGACTGAATTTTCTGACTACAAGAGAAATATTAATAACAATTGAAGTTCCCTGTAATCCTTTACCATATCCAGGGTATAATTTTAAATTATGTCATATGCTATTATTAAATTATTCTCTTATTTGAGTTGGAGTCTCACTCTGTCACCCAGACTGGAGTACAATGGCACACTCACAGCCACCCCAGTGTTGACCTGCTGGGCTTCGACAATCCTTCTGCTGCAGCTTTCCAAGTAGCCAGAGCCACAGGCGTGCGCTGTCACATCTGGCTAATTTTTAATTTATTGTAGAGACGAGGTCTTGCCAAGTTGCCTGGGCTGGTCTCAAACCTGCGAGCTCAGGCAATCCACTTGCTTCAGCCTCCCAAAGTGCTGGGATTACAGGCTAAGCCACTGAACCTGGCCGTCAAATAATTCTTAAAATACGGTTTTTATTATATACTATAAATTACTCTCACTTGCCTACAAGAAATTCTAAATTTAATTCTTGTGAAGCTGGCTTCTCCCAATATGCCATTTTAATTTTTGATAGACTTGGTTTCTTCATATACATGATTTATTTGGTACCCCTGGTATATTTTGCACATTTTTACATTTCTTTGCTTATGGTGTTTGCCTTCCATTTTTTCTTTCTAATGAAATTCAATTAATTCTTTAAGGCTTATCTTATTTATAGCTACTGACTTCTCTTTTCATCACCTAAACATTTATATTCTTCCATTCTTCTATACCACACTTTTGACATGTGGAAAAGAAATAATGTTTAGGATCTGTCATATGTTTCCATTTTATTTAACATATTCTTGTAGATATCATGTCTTATTTGGCAGAGAGCTTAGTTCTCTGTCACATTCAGTTCTGTCAGTATACTTCAAATATTTTTTTATGTCATAAGATCGGGGAGTCTTGTGTTATCACCCTAAATGTTTGTTGATTATTATGGAACCTCATTATGTTGGTTCCCTTTTAAGTAGCATTGTAAATTCCCTTTTGGGTTATTTGATACAATTGCATAATTTCCATAGGCCTCATTGGCTAAGCAACAGCAACCAAAGCAATTCTCCCTTAGTATCCTAGAGTCATCTGATATGCTGTATCATAAGAAAGTCAGATACACTAGACCTTAATCCTGTCCATGTGCATAGTTTTGATCAAGTTATAAAACCTCTCTGAGCCTGATCTTCTTTATTTGAAAGTGGTTACAGTATCTACTTTTTTGGATTATTTTAAGATTAAGGGAATGCAAAGTAATATGATAATTTGTACATAATATTTGTTTAATAAAATGATAGCTATTCTCATCATAAGCATCCTGTTAATATTCATGTGATCATGCTGTCTCTTCTTTATGCTTGCTTAGTTTTCACATCTATAGCAGAGAGTTATACTAGCATAGAGTTGTAACTTCAGTCATTTATAATACCTTTAAAATTTTTTATTTTTTAACAATAGAAACTCCTTCTTCAATGATTAATCGAGTGAATGCCATGTTGAAAATATTTGAAAACCAGGCAAATAAGTTGGAAAGGTAAGCTTTTAAAGTAATTCCTTTTTCTTTTTGTATTTTATTATTATTATTATTTTTTAAATCGGCAGATAATGTGTATTTTTATCATGTATAACATGTTTAATTATAAAAATTGGTGCATGTTTGTTGCAGAAAAATTAAAAACAAGAAAATAAGATTTGGAAAAAATTTAGTTTCTTATATCAATCTGTGTGATTATACATATGTATAATCTTTAAATTAAAATTATAAATATTGAATGCAAAGTGAAATATAAAATATCTACTATAAAAAAACAGTATGTTAGTTCCTCAAAAAATTAAAAACAGAATTACTGTTTGATCCAGCAATTCCACATCTGGGCATATACCTCCAAAAATTGAAAACAGTTGTACACCCATATTCATTTCAGCATTATTCACAATAGTCAAAATATGGAAGCTATCCTAAGTGTCCAACAATGGATGAATGAATAAACAAAACGTGCTGCCCTCATATGTTTACCTGCACTTGTATGTGTATTGTGGCACTATCTACAATAGCAAAAACATGGAACCAACCTAGATTCTCATCAGTGGTAGACGGGACAAAGAAAATATGGTGTATATACTCCATGGAATATTATGAATCCATAAAAAAGAACAAGATCATGTCCTTTGCAGCAATATGTATGCAGGTGGAGACCATTATTCTAAGTGAATTGTTACAGAAACAGAAAACTGAATACTGCATGTTCTCACTTATAAGCGGGAGCTAAGCACTGAATACACATGGGCATAAAGATGGGAACAGCAGACATCGAGAACTCTTAGAGTGGGGAAGGAGCGAGGAGAGTAAGGCACCAAACCATCCATTTGGTACCATGCCCACCACCTGAGTGGCAGGCTCAGTAGAAGCCTAAATCTCACCATCATGCAATATGTAACAAACCTGTATACGTATGCCATGAATCTAAAAAAATAAACAGAAACCAAATGTATATACACACAATGCAATGTTACTCTGTATTAAAAAAAGAAAGGAAATTTTGATACATTCTACAACATGGATGAACCTTGAGGACATTATGCTACATTAATTAAGCCAATGACAAAAAGACAAATATACTACTGATTCCCCTTACAGGAGGTACCTAGAGTAGTAAAATTCATAGAGACAAAAAGTAGAATGATGGTTACCAGGGAGTGGGAGGAGGGAGAAAGGGGGAATTAATTTTTTAATGTACATTAAACTTCAGTTTTGCATGATGAAAAAAGTTCTGGAGATTGGTTGTAAAATAATGTGAATGTACCTAACACTGCTGAACTGTACACTTAATGGTTAAGATGGTAAGTTTTATGTTACGTGTATTTTTCTACAGTTTAAAAGAGTTACAGTAATACAAAAATGTAGTTTGTATATATTCTTTTCACTTATAAACTGATATAATTCCTTTTAAAATAAATGTTTTAATTTTATTGACAAAATTATATGTATATATATTATTTATGGTAACATACCTGCACTCCTTACATACCAATCTTTTTTTTTTGGTGGTGGCAACACTTAAAAATCTACTCTCTCAAACAGTCTTTAGCCCAGATGCATGTATTGCAGGTAGTTATGCCATGTCAGAATTGAAATAATAATAATTCTAACATGGCAAATTCAGTCTTGAATGAGATTCATTGGCCAGTTATGGCACTGGCAAGGTGAAGACATCCATTTGCTTAAAAAATAACAACAGATTCTGAGTTCACATCATCCAAAAAACAAAATTTAATGTAATTATAGACTTAAATGTAAGAAAATAAAACCATATATATAGAGAAGACATTAAGCTCTATCAAAATTCAAACATCTTGTTCAAAATTGTAGGACATGCCAAAGAATAAATTTAGATATTAGAAGAAACATAGGAATAAATCTTTGTGACCTATGATTAGGCAATGGTTTCATAGATATGAAACCAACAGCACAATCAACAAGAAAAAAAATTAGATAAATTGAACTTTATAAAAATTAAAAACTTCTGTACTGCAAATGAGATCATCAAGAACATGGAAAAACCACTCACAGATTGTGAAAAAATTCACAAATTATATATCTGATAAGGTACTTGTATTCAGAATATACAAAGAACTCTTATACCTGAATAATAAAAAGATAAATAACCCTATTAAAAAAATGGGCAAAGGATCTGAATAGACATTTCCCCAAATATGTACAAATGCTCAGTAAGCACATGAGAAGATACTTAGCATCATTAGTCATTAGGGAATTGAAAATCAAAACTACAGTGAGATACTACATCATACCCGTTAGGTTGGCTATAATATAATATAATATAATATAATATAATATAATATAATATAATATAATATAATATAATATAATATAATGACAATAACAGTGTTGACAAGAGAAATTGGGACCCTCATGCATTGCTAGTGGGAATTTAAGTGGTGTATACACTTTGGAAAACAGTTGTTAATTCCTCAAAATGTTAAATGTAGAGTTAACATATGACCCAGAAATTCTCTTTCTAGGTTTACGCCTGATATAAATGAAAACATCTTATAAAAACTTTACAAGACTGTTTATAGTACCATTATTCTTAGCAAATAGCAAAAAAATGGAAACAACTGATGAATAGATAAATAATATGTGTTGTGTCCATATAATAGAATGTTATTTGGCAGTAAAAAGAACATAGTAATGATACATAGTACAACAGAGATGAATCTTGAAAACATGCTAAGTGTAAGAAGCCAGTCTCAAAAGACCACATATTGTTTGCTTCTTTTTATATGAAATATTCAGAATAGGCAAATCTTTAAGATTTTTTTTTTTTTATTTTAAAGATGTGGGGTACAATTCAGGGTTAGGTATACAAAAGATCATTATGCAGGTACCCTGCAAGAATAGGCTAATCTATAGAGACAAAGTAGATTACTGGCTTACAGAACTGGGCAGTGCAAGGAGGAATGGGGAGTGACTATTAACTGGTATAGGTTTTGTTTTGGATAACTAAATGTTCTAAAATTAGACAGCGGTGGTGTTCATTTTGGTGACTGTATTAAAAGACATTAAATTGTATACTTAAAAAACAAATGAATTGTATGGGATAATAATTATATTTTACTGAAGCTGTTATACATTCTGATTTAATAAGCCAACAACTCTTTTGTTTAAAAGAAAACTCGATGATTATCCATATAGTTGAAAAGGTGTTAGCAAACTGCAATCATGAGTCAAATCTGTCCTGCAGCTTGTTTTTGTAAATAAAGTTTTATTGGAACACAGCTACGCCATTCATTTACCTATCTATAGCTGCTTTTGCTGAATTAAGTAGCAGTGACAGAGACTATGAGGCTTGCAGAATCTAAAATACTATTTAGCTCTTTACAGAAACGTTTGCCAACTCCTGCTATGGAAAAATAAGTAGCTTTTAAAAGGACTGAGAAAGATCTATGTTTACTAAAGCAAAACAAGTTGAGAACAGTATATACAGTAATGTCATTTGTGTGAAAAAGAAAACAGAGACTTAACCTCCTAACACAAATTATAGAATCAAATAGGTACATGCAGTATTGTGTAAATGCATGAAACAAGTTCTGTAAAGGTAACAGCAATCTAATAATATCTCTTGGAAAGCATTACATTTTGGGGGTGATAGTTAAAGTGTATGCTAGCCTTTATTTTATTATTTTAAACTCTTTACAAAGAAAATTTATAAATGTGTCGCATAAAATTTTAATACATTAGAGATATTTTAAATTTGTTTTTCAGAGCTAAACATGATCAAGATTTGTTAGAGGCAGTAAGTATAGCATTCTCTGCTTGAAATTGCATTTTGCCCTTAGAGTTCTTCATAGACTCTAGAAATTGTCAGGGTAAATAATCTTAAATAAAAATCCAATGCTTATTCAGTTTATTTAAATGATTCCTATGCATATGTGAGCTGGAATGCTTTGTCTTTTTAAAAATTTTACTGGATATTATTAACATCAGAAACACTTCACTTCTGAAATATTAAACTCTAATAACTTTTGCAATCTTCTGAATAGTTTCAGTCATTGCTACTTGTAGTTCCTTTATCTCTTTCAGCCCCAAGTGTAACCTAGATATAAAGATTACTACCAATTGTTCATTATTTTCATGAGTTAATGAAGACTTTTTAACCTTAATACTTAAGTATAAATACTTTACAAATAACCTTTCTGAAATATTTGCTCTTCATCATTACTAAAATTATATTATTTGTTTTTAGAAATATAAACAGATGCAAAGTGATTTTGAATTGTTATCAGAAGAGAAATTTGTGCTGGAAAATGAACTACAAAAGTTGAAGGATGCAGAGGTTGGTAAAATTCTAGTATCTGAAAATGGCATATAATACCTAACAAGGCTTATTATTCTAGGATGGAATCAAAGAAATAGTTGATTGTTTTACAATATGTTTTCAATATTAGTAATTTGTAGCAGCTGTGCTTTAAAAAATAAAATAATGTGTAATCTAAATTACCATATTAGCTATTGGAATCAGAATGATGCTATGAAAAACACATAAAATTTAAGCATCCAGAAAGATATTTCTAGGGCAAATATTTAACTTCATTAAACTATCAGTGTTTTCTCTAATTATATAATGTGTGTGTCCCAGATAATTATACATAGTAGAGTGAATGAAAATGCCAAGGATAAAGGAAAATTTGTTTCCTTTTGTATTTTCTTTTTCTCCTTGCCATTTTTGAACAGCTTATACATTCAAACTATAGACAACAAAGTCAAATAGAAGTGAATTTTTATTAACCATGTAATAACATAAAATGCATAGCTGAATCCACTAATGTTGGTTGCTTGATATTTCTTTTTTACTAGAGGAGGAAACAGAAATAGTACAAAAGATTTTCTATTTAATTAGTCTTAGAAGCAGTGATCCTATACAGGTGTCATATATAAGATCTGCTATGTATGTTCAATTTAGGAATAGTTCCCCTATGTATTATTCCAAGTAGAACCAAAAAATCAGTACAAAAAAGTCTAAAAATAGTAAATTGTCATGTTGAAGAATTGAATAGGTTGACCAAGTATGAGAATTTGGCATCATTCTAATCATGCACTTTTAGAACCTGTTTGAAAAAAACTTTGAAACTTCTTAAATGACTTAAAGATGTTGCTGCAATTTCTGGCTTTGTTTTCCTGTATTGTTTCTTTATGCATTTTGTCTCTAATTCTGCTCTAGAGAGCAATGGTTTTTGTATGGACTTCTTCAATACATGGTCTAGGACATGATCTTCAACCTTTTTGACTTCAGGGACCGATTTTCTGGAAGAAAATTTTTCCACTGACAGGGTGGGGTGGGGAGGATATACTGCCAAACTTCACTGCTAATGTTAATCTGTATTTGCAGCTGCTCTCCAGTGCTAGCATCACTGCCTCAGCTCCGCCTCAGATCATCAGGCATTAGATTCTCATAAGAAGCATGCAACCCAGATCCTTGGCATGTGCAGTTCACACTCCTATGAGAATCTAATGCTGCAGCTGATCTGACAGAAGACAGAGATCAGGTGGTAATGCAAATGATGGGGAGTGACTGTAAATAGAGATGAAGCTTTGTTTGCTTGCCACTCACTTCCTGCTGTGGGAAGGACAGGGATGGATACTGATCTGTGGCCTGGGGGTTGGAGATCCCTGGTCTAGGATACATCGGGCCTTGTTGTTCAATCCACAGAAACTTTGGTGCTCATTTGATAGATTATACCTCTTATCTATCCTTGTCTTAGCCCCTGCACGTAATTTCTGCTTCACTCCTCATTTAAGCTTTTGACTTTCTAAAATATATTAAAGTTCACTAGCTACATTTCTAATGCTTTGCTATGTGAAATATAATCAGCGAATAACTGACCTTACCTTCTCTCATTGGAAATTATGTGAACTTCTGATCATTGTTTGGAAATATGAAGGAGAAATGTGGAAGGAACATTACTAAATGTGTAGCGGAAATGTCATATTCACACAAGGATAGTGACCAAGAGATCTGAGAGGTAGTCTGTTTTCATAGAAGAAAATTTAACATGGGAACTGATTAAATAGGGTGGTAGGGAGAGAATAATGACTATAGCATATTCCAGACTCAGGATTTCTAACAGCAAAGTTATTTTTCTTCCACAGTAGGCTTTCTTTCCTAACTTACTTATTTCTCTCAATAATTTTTTTATACAACCAAGCTTAATAATAAAAAATCGTATTTGATTCCTATTCTTGTCTGCCAAATATTAATCAGTATTTTCCTGTGAATTGGTTTAGTGTTTTATTTTTTTGTGTGTAAGCAGGAGAAACTGACTCAGGCCATCCAAAGAAAGAAATTTATTGGACAGGTATTAGGGTAACTCAGAGAACTGAAAGAAAATTTGAACCTGTTTTGTAAGGGATATGACTAGAGTAACTCTGGGAGTCAAAATAATAAAAGTTCATGAGCATCTAGTATTTAAGCCCTTTCAAAGTATTTTTAGAGAGGGAGCTTTGGCTAATTTTTTTCCATCCCACTAAATATTGAATCTGGAATTACTCAGCTCTGCCTGTCTCCCTTCCATAATAGTCAATTCTTAGGAGATGGGATGTTACTGGCCTTGTTTGGGACAAGTGTCTACTGGAAAAAATTGAAATGAGGGAGGGGCAGAATCTTCCTAAAATGTGGTGCTATTTCTTAAAAGGAAAAAAGAATACTGCGTACAAGCATCTACTGTCTATTGTACTTTGTATTGTTTCCCTAAGTACTACCTTATGCATTTAGTTATTCTGGGTATAAGCAAATTTTTATTGTAAAGTGACAGATAAATATTTTAGGCTTTACAGGCCATCTGCTCCCTGTTGCAATTAGTCAGTTTCTGTTGTATGAAAACAGCCATAGGCAATACATAAATAAAAAAGTGTGGCTATGTTGCAATAAAACTTTATTTATAAAATCAGGCAGTAGGGAAGATTTGGCCTGTAGTTTGCCTCTTCTGATTTATTCAATTTATGCCGCCACATAGTTTTCTAAAATCGCTTCCTAAATAGGATCTCCAAGACGTGTATATTTTGGTATGCTGTTGGTAAAAAATATCACTGCTTAAAGATTTGTTTCTGTATCTTCTATTCCATTGAACTTGTCTATTCCTGTGCCTATCTAAACTCAAGTGTCTTAATGATTATAGGTTTAAAATAAGTCCTGATATCTTATAGGGCAAGTCAGCCCACCTTGTACTTTATAAGCATTTATTTATTTTTGGCCTTTGTACTTTTATGTCAGTTTGAGTTAACCTTGTCAGATTTTATAGTTGTACTATATCTTCACATTAAATTAGAGATACTTGACACCTAGGATATCAAGATACATATTTTTGTTAATGAACATTAACTGTCCCCAATTTTGAAGGGTTTCTGTAATGTCTTACAATACAGTGTTTATAATTTTCTTTATAAAGTTCTTACTAATTTTTGTTAGGTTACTCTTAGGTGCTTCATATTTTTATGCTATTTTAGTTGTTATCTTTTGAAGAAACTTTCTAACTGTTGCTATAGATGTGTAAAGATTTTTCTTTTTAAAATCTTTTTTAAAATAAAAATTTTTAAATTTTAGATTTGGGGGTACACATGCATGTTTGTTACATGGACATACTGTGTAGTGGTGGGATTGGGTCTCAGTAAACCCATTCCCCAAATTGTGAACATTGTGCCCCATAACCTTAACTCTCTTCCCCACCCCCTTTGGTGTCCCTAGTGTCTATTATCTCCATCTTTGTGGCCATTTAGCTCCCATATATGAGTAAGAACATATGGTGTTTGATTTTCTGTTTCTGAGTCTGTTTTCTTAGGATGTTGATCTCCAGCCCCATTCATGTTGCTGCAAAGGACATGCTTTCATTCTTTTTTATGGCCATGTAGTATTCTATGGTGTATACATACCACACTTACATTATCCACTGACTGGTTGGTGGGCATTAGGTTGATTCCACATCTGTGTAATTGTGGATTGTGCTGCTATGAATGTGCGATTGCAGGTGTCTTTTTAACATAATGACCTCTGTCTCTTGGGGTAGATAAAATGGTAGATCTACTTTTGGTTATTTGAGTAATCTCCATACCACTTTCTGTAGAGGTTTTACTAATTTACACTCACACCAACAGAGTATAAGTGTTCCCGGTTCTCTACATTTGTGCCAACATCTATTGTCTTTTGGTTTGTTAATAATGACCATTCTGACTGGTGTAAGGTGGTATCTCATTGTGGATAGAATTTGCATTTTCCTGATTATGAGTGATGTTGAGCACTTTTTCATATGTTTGTTGGCCATTTATATCTTCTTTTTTTTGAGTTGGTGTCTCACTCTGTCGCCCAGACTGGAGTGCAGTGGCCGCTCCCGGCCACTGTAGCCTCGACCTGCTGGGCTGCAGCGATCCTTCCGCCTCAGCTTTCCAAGTAGCCGGAATTACAGGCATGCACTGCTACGCCCGACTGATTTTTTGATTTATTGTAGAGATGAGGTCTCACTGCCCAGGCGGGTCTTGAACCTGAGGGCTCAGGCAATCCACTCACCTCAGCCTCCCAAAGGTGTGGGATTACAGGCTGAGCCACCGAGCCTGGCTCATTTATATATTCTTAAGAAATGTCTATTCATGTTGTTTGCCTACTTTTTAATGGGGCAATTTGCTTTTTTTCTAACTGATTTGTTTGAGTTCTTTGTAGATTCTGGATATTAGTCGTTTGTCAGATGTATAGTTTGTATCTTCTGATATTCTGTAGGTTGCCTGTTTACTCTGTTAACTATTTTTTTTTTTTTGCTGTGCAGAAACTTTTCAGTTTAATAAGTTAAATACGTTTAGTTAAATAAGTTCCTGCTTATTTATTTTTTATTTTTGTTTTAGCTGTATTTGCTTTTGGGGTTAGCCATACATTTTTTGCCTAGGCTGATGTCCACAAGAGTTTTTTTAGGATTTTTGTGGTTTTAGGTCTGACAATTAAGTGTTTAATCCATCTTGAGTTAATTTTTGTGTCTAGGGAGAGATAGGGATCAAGTTTCATATTTCTGCATGTAGGTATCCAGTTTTCCCAGCACCATTTGTTGAATAGAGTGTCCTTTCCCCAGTGTATGTTTTTGTCTGCTTTGTCAAAATCAGTTGGTTGTAGGTATTTGGGTTTCTTTCTGTTTTCTCTGTTCTATTGGTCCATGTCTCTGGTCTTGTACCAGTACCATGCTGTTTTAGTTACAGTAGCCTTGTAGTATAATTTGAAGTCAGGCAATGTAATACCTCCACCTTTGTTCTTTTTTGCTTAGGATTGCTTTGGCTATTCTGGCTCTTTTTTGGTTCCATATG